GTATTTTACAGTCTTTATTTTACAGTAAAAATAAATGTTTATCAAATAAAGTCTAATGTTACAACTAATCGTGGATCACTTTAACATAATGTTCACTGACATGAGACTGTCCACGGTCACAGATAGAGACTTCACACTTTTATTTCAGGTTACTCTCTTCCCTCGAGGACACATTTTACAAAACTCATGGAGAGAAAATATGAAGACTTTAAGGATATAGCACACATCTGTGTAGATGCTTGTTTACATTCAGCTCTAACGCCAGCAGACTAAATGTTGTCAGGGCGGCTGCTGAGGTGAACACAAAGCAGGCCGGGACGGACGGGTACAAACACGTGGGTACAAAACATCCTGTGGGTGACGTTTAACTTTACGCCCAGAAAGAATAGAACCAAATTAACCAGACTGCAACCCTGCAGRGATTAAAAAAGTCAAACCTAGCTGTAACGACTCGCCTGTTGAATCTGTCAGATTTCAGTCTCAGTTTGTGCCAAACTCGAGGCCCTGATCACAGAATGTAACGAGGAGCTGCAGGGAGGAAGCAGATGTTGTTATCCTCCTTTACTGAACCCGGCTAACGACCTGACTCTGTGTGAAGGAGGGATCATCTCCTCTTCTTTATGAGATATAATCTGCAGATTACACGCTCCGTGAGCCCGGGTGCGCGCTGCAATTACCTCGACTTCCACACGCCGACTTAGATTAGCTTTTTAATAATGATATTTCCACGAGCCGTGGCGGTTTGATGTTTTAAAAACARCAACGGGGTTTCTCCACAGAAGACGGGACCGATGAAGACGAGCAGACGGGTGAGGAAGGACTTACAGGTGTGTAAGCACTCGGTGACGGTGGTGGCGTCGATCAGGTAGCCCTCGCACAGCCGGCACGTGATGTGGGCATTGATGTGACACAGCTTGATCTTCCTCGTCAGCATGTCGGGGTTCTGAGGAAGAGGAGCGAGGAAAGACGTTATGAATGTATTTTGTTCAGTAGCTGAAGCTACGAAACTTWGTTTATATTTTGAAATGTGAATAAAAATATTAAATATATGCAACAAAATTGAAAAGAAAACAACTTTTCTAAATTTATAAC